GCTTACAGTTTAGTGGTTCCGAGAGATTCTAAAATACACTCTCGAGGAGACAAAACTGTATGGCATCACCTAATTCTTTAATATTGAAATCATTAGTTATTTTACTTAATAAAGTAGTCCATAACATGTAATGAACTTTCTTGAAACAATTTCTAAATAAGTTCCCGTAGGAACTGATATACTCTTAATATTTCCCAATAGAGTGTCCACAAATCAAATCATACTTTTAATGAATGACTGCTTTTTTGTTATTAATTAAATAACTTTTAATAAAATTACAATTACATAGAAATTGTAGCAGTATCATTTCAACATAGTCATCAACTTTCTAGGAATAAATATGTTGAGATAAATAATAATTTATTGCTAACTCTAATAGACTAAATAGACTGAACATTGTAATAAATATTTTATATGGTATTAATATAAAAATATAATTAAATGCAATATTAACAGAATATAGCAAACAATTTTTGCTTAAAGGTTTACAAATAAAGGTTAAAAACAAACACTCGTTTCAAATATTATTAAATCAATACAAATATACTTCATAAGGAAGATTGCATTATATAATACTGTACTACAGTATAGTATGATTATAGCATTGATTTTCTACAGAATAAAAGCTCTTTTATAGCATTTGTGAGATGTATTGAACGGATCGATAAATGGGAGGGAATGGAGTGATTCGTGGACTACGGATATGACTATTCCTTAACAGCAATGATAAGAGAAATGACACGAAATTCGTTTCCATTATCAGAATAGCACTACATTTTCGGTGATTGTCTGCTCCATACATATACTCGTATAGTGTTTGTCTGTAAATCATATTGTATTTGAAAACATATGTGAATTACAAAAATGTGTGACTCTTTGGTAGAAGAGGATGAAGGCTTCCTCTATGAAGAGGACAAAATGTGAGAACACCTGCCTTTCCATCACTATTAGCAACAATTTGCACTTCACTTCATTTTGTTTAGTTTTAATTTTTTAATTTCTATTTCAGTGCACTCTAAACAAGTATTAAGTTTTATTTTGTTTTATTTATTTAAATTTAATTCATTACTAATGTCAAGACGTTTAGCAGATTTTTATGACCGTTATTCCTATGCCTCTTACCAGCAGTTATACCACTATAATCACAATATGCATGATATGAGTGATAACTATTGGCTCGAGAATATGATTGAAGACAGAATGTATGCATTCATTACAAACACTAACCACAAGAATATTTTATTTTATAAATCAATTATTATAACTATACTTATAATGAAATTGATTTCCATTAGGGGAATGACTATCACATCGGGGAGTGTTGTCATTAAGAAAGATGAGAGCAATTTAATCGGCATTAGTATTGGTGGCGGTGCTCCTCACTGTCCCTGTCTTTATGTGGTTCAGGTATTGCCAACAAATTCATGACAATTCATAAAAATTAAATTACAATTTGTTTGACACGTATTGAGGTGTTTGACAACACCCCGGCCTCCAGAGAGGGTACTCTACAGTCGGGCGACGAAATAGTCGGAGTAAACGGCACTTCAGTGAAGGGCAGCACTAAAGTAGAGGTCGCGAAACTGATCCAATCGGTCAAAGAGGAGGTGATTATCAATTATAATAAACTGCACGCCGACCCAAAACAGGGAAAGTCGTTGGATATTGTTCTCAAGAAAATGAAACATAAAATGGTTGAGAATATGAGTACCACGACCGCCGATGCCCTCGGACTCAGTCGAGCCATACTTTGCAACGGTTTGATTGAAACCATAAATGTCTCAAAGAATTTATGTTTTATAAATGTTTCGTAATTTGCAGATAATTTAGTGAAAAAGTTAGACGAATTGGAAAGAAATGAATACATATATCGGGGTCTTATGGATCACACAAAGCATGTGATTAAAGCATTTATAGATCTGTGTAATATTTATAAAGGTATTATTTCTTATAATTGAATGCGTTTTTTAATATCATGTTAAGTGAGCTAATTTAAAACTTGTAAATTAAAAAATATGAGCATTTAGTACATTATGAGTATTATTATGAGTATTTCAATGATTAAAGTATATTACTAATCAGTTTAATGTCTATTATAATTTATAAGACATACACTTAACATGTTATTAAAAAACGCAATCAATTGTTTAAAAATATGAGACAATTTGCAAATATTAATAATTGCTAAATTGATAGCTTTTGGGGACATATTCGCTGAGATAGGAGTCCGTGAGCCTCAGCCACAGGCGAGTGAAGCCTTCTCTAAGTTTGGAGAAACGCATCGCTCTATAGAGAAGTCCGGCTCAACCATGTTGTCGGCTATTAAACCAGTAATCACTCTAAATCTTGTTATTTAATCCTTTATTTAATCAATTTTCAATACTTTGTGTGGTATTATAGATGTTAAGCGATTTGAATACATTTTTAAATAAAGCGATTCCGGACACTAAGCTAACCATCAAGAAGTATGCGGACGTTAAGTTTGAATATTTGGTAATATGTCTACTGTTTGGTCAATGACTACATCAATGATTTGAAATATAACTATCATTATTAGTCATACTGTTTGAAAGTGAAGGAAATGGATGACGAGGAATACACTTATCAGGCACTACAGGAACCGCTATATAGAGTGGAAACCGGAAACTATGAGTACCGGCTTATACTCCGGTGTAGACAAGACGCCAGATCTAGGTTTGCAAAACTGAGATCAGATGTGATGGTCAAACTGGAGCTATTGGATCAAAAGCACGTTCAAGACATCGTCGCTCAGTTGCAAAGACTTATATCTTCGCTCTCGAGCTTTCATAACGAATGCCATTCTCTGCTGAAAAATAACACTATATTTCCCATTGAACTCGATTTATCCAAAACGTGTACTTTTCAATACCCCGACCCTTTGGTCAGTCCATATCAGGACGAGCCCGACGATGACCCCGAAGACGAGGGACTCCCGGGTTTGGTGGAGGCGCTCGAAGCCAAGCCCTCCCACCCTCTCATTGAGGGCTTTGAATCGTTGCAAACCACCAGTCATTCAGCGGTCGCCCCCAAGACCACGGAAGAAGATCTCTTGAATATATTTAATTAAATTATCTTTTTCTCCAATATTTTTCATCATATTTTATACAAATATTAATTGAATATATCGATTTATAATTATATACTATATAAATCATTGTATTATTGATACCTCAAATTTTTGAGTATTTATTAAATGAATCGTTAACTTTTAAATTATAAATAAAAAATATTTCTGATATTTAATATGCGGGTTATTTAAAACATTAAACTTGAAATATCTTTAAAAATACCAAATGTGTATTAATATTACAAATCAAACTTACAAACTAAAATGCAAATTATACTCAAATAGTATATGAAATACTTCTCATATATTTGAATCAAAGTTTGAAACTTTGGTTTTCATTGTGAGACCGACAGCGAGAGTGCAGTGCTTGCAGTGAACACTCAATGACTCAATGCTTGCAAACAAACACAACATTCAATGCTTTGAATGTGTTTTGCATTTGTGTCACAAATTGTGTGCCAATCAAGTGGTGAATCGCGTGAAGACTTCCTCCAGTGATGACCAGACACGCGCGCAATAACACCGCCGGTGCTGTCTATTCATACCACGAGAGACAGAGGGATACCAACACATCTGGTTATGGCACTCAACGACAACGACTGGCCAAGGAGTCCATCAAAGACTTCGATGCCTGTAATCTAACTCTTCAGCCGTGCAGACACCCCGTCATCACGTAATTGTCACCATATTTNGAGAGACAGAGGGATACCAACACATCTGGTTATGGCACTCAACGACAACGACTGGCCAAGGAGTCCATCAAAGACTTCGATGCCTGTAATCTAACTCTTCAGCCGTGCAGACACCCCGTCATCACGTAATTGTCACCATATTTTGTGTCATTACCTGTACTTTATTGTCATTGATTTGATCCAAAGACCGGACGGCTATATGTACGACAAGGAGTCGATTCTCGAGTACATTATCCATCAGAAGAGAGAAAACGCCCGAAAACTCAAAGAATATGAGAAACAGAAGAAGAGGGAGGAGAAGGAGATCCAGGACTTGGCCAACGCTGAGCTCACCAACAAGACAATCAACTTCTTGAAGACCGAGACCACAATCAGTAAACCCTCCGCTTCTGCAACATCTGGCAGTGAAGTGGTGTCGAGTGTTGGCTCCGGGATCTCAAACATGACGAGCGGTCGTTCCGAAGATTTGCCCAGTTTTTGGGTGCCATCGATGACACCGCAGTCATCGAAGACTAAACTCAAGAAACCCGACTCTAATGTCTACTGTCCTATGAGTGGTCGACCCATTAAAGCCAATCAATTACTTGATGTTCACTTCACGCCAACCAATGACACAAAGGTTTTGCCAAATATTTAAGATCTCATTGAATGACTAAATTTGATTTGATTTGATTTGAAGGGCAAATACAAGTGTGCGGTCACTCATGACGTCCTCCACAACGCCGTACTCTGCGCTGTACTCAAGACATCGTAAGTGTTGACAACGATTTGATTCAATGATCATTAAGTGACACTTGAAACACATTCAGAGGAACAGTAGTAACCATGGAATGCATTGAGAAACTCATCAAAAAAGATATGTTGGATCCGATCAATGGCCAGAAGCTGAAGGAGGCGGACATCATTCCCCTACAAAGGGGAGGCACAGGATATGCCGCCGCCAATGAGTTAGAGGCAGCCGTCAAGCGGCCGGTTATGATGGCGTGAGGTATCATTCAAATGACACATACATTCAAAACATAATTAACTTAATTTTATTCAAAATAATTCAATTGTAATATTAAATCCTAATCTTATGAATGATTTCACAATAAAATTTGTTTCGCGTATAATTCACCGGAAATTGAATATAATATGACTTTTAATTGAAAAATATTAATCAATGATTGATTCGTTTGTCAAATGGTTTGCAAAATAATCATTTGTCACAAAAATAATTGAATATTGAGTGCAAAATCACTATTAAATTACAAAAAAACAATATTTTGGTATAAATATTGGCAATACGTTTGTAGATATGAATGAATGAGTTATTTGCGTGATTATTTAAAAAAGTTATACTAAATATACTGTAATTGTAATATCAATTGGAAAATAGCTAATCATATGAACGAATGGTCTCTTATTTGGCTTTCTTTTTGTTTTTCATGCTTTGGTGCGAATGGTTGCCATCAGAAGACTCTTCAATATACCCGCACTTCAGGAGCAGATCTCGTGACACATTATTGATGTGTTTGAAGCGGTCGGGACCTAACTGTATGCCTCCAAACCAACGCGAGACCACTACCAACACATCCCTCACCTCAAGAATCTGCAGCAAATGGAGGAGTCGAGAGCCCGCGTGACTCTCGCCGTCGTCATCACAGTCCTGAAGACATGTATTGTGTGGTCCGCCGGAGATTCTGTAGGCACTGATGTTATGGGTGGCGCTCTCTATCTTCTTGTTGGTCTTGAGGACCGACAGGGCCTCCAGTGCTTCGGCCACCGAATGAACGGGCGATAAGTGTGCCTGAAATGTACTCCTCCTGTCTGTGAGGGGTTCGCCGTGATATAGGGCCGGCACTACTGCCCCACCCGAGGAATGGAGAGATGATATGGTCTGACAGTGCGATGAGTGACTATCCGATGACGGGTCGCATGAGTTGTGGTCGATGTGGTCGTCAGTGGTCTCTTCGGGTCCTTTGCTATCGTTGTCGTAATGACTGGTTTGGCAGTTGTTGTGATCATGTGATGGGTTATCATTACCATCGATGGACTCGTGTTCGCTGTTCAAGAACTCTCTGGCCTTCTCTATCCACAAGTATAGTATGGATTGGGATTCATTGGAACAGTAGATCTCCTCCAACTCAGCCATCAGTCGTGTCTTATCCTTGCGTGACATCCAGGGGGCCGACAGTGTATACAATGGCGGCTGACTTAAGGGGTATTCGTCGGGCAGACGGAACTCCAGACGAATCATTCGCTGCCAATCCGTGTGAGAGTGGGATCTGGTCTGCGATGGGCTGTCGTTGCAGTTGTTGTCGTACTTCAGAGTAATACTGAAGACATGGCTGCTCTCGTCCTCCACAACCCATTCGTCCCCATAAATGGCAGACAACGCCTCGATCTCATCGCTTCTTAACGTCTTGCAGTCCATCAGTCATCAATGGATTGCTTCCAAACGCATCCAATGTCTTAATTGTCTAAACAATGAAATCATATGTTTTTATAAACCAATCAATCGTTCATTCATTGAATGCATGCATTAGTTATGCAATCATTCATTACATGTTTACATGTGATCACCACATCTAACATATGTTACCCTATATTCTAATGAGTCGTAAAACTTATGGACAAACTAATCAATACATGCATTCAATTTCAATAGGCGTTCAGTGAATAGAAATCTATAAATGTTTTCTAAGAAGTGCTCTCATTATAGCTATGCATTCATAAATGATGTCCAATAGGCAGAGGGGTGGGCGTGAGCGTTGAGCACAGCATTGGGTTTGTTGTTGTGATTGAATGCAGACATCACTCATTGTCCGCACCTTTACTTCCCTTTCCTGTACTCAACACCAAAGCAATGGTAAGATATTTAACAATCAATTGATTTGATTAATTAATTCACTTAATTGGTGACACTTTTGGACACATTGTTGACAATGAATGCATTAATGACTGGTTTGTCTTCACCCACAGCCGACCCGTTTGAAGAAGACGCGCAAACTTCGTGGACACGTGTCTCACGGACACGGACGCATCGGTACGCCATATCACT